ACTCGCTCACACCGTATAAGTACTCACAATAAGCGAATCAATCATGATTTTCTTTCCTTTTTTCTCTCTCTCTAATTTCATTGTTTGCCTACTCACATTGTTCTTGTTTGTTTGTAAAATAGTCCTCGCTCACAATAATCTTCCCATCGCTCTCAACATGGACCAATTCATAAGAATTTGTAATCTCGACTTCGCGTCCTGACTGCGTCCCAAGCAAAGCCCCTATGACTGTATATGCGGATAACGCGTTAGGAAACCTCGGGATTTATTTCCGTGCTAAAATAGATTTATGTATAAAAACCTCTTGGATGTGAAACTTGTTGTTGCATCTTTATTCTTGTATAATGATCGGATATATTGAGCAGAGCCAACGGATGCCTATATATCAATCAATATGATTAGTAAAGTATATAATGCACAACACGAAATAAAACTCATGTAAGTTCTTTTTTCTCACAATGCAACCGTCAATCCAGAGCTGTTTGGTGCATTAGAAACAACCAAAGAACTACCCTGAGGCACGATTTGTTCGTCTGTCTCCATACTAACAGTACCCATGTTTAATGATATGTTGCCCAAAGAACCAAACGAACAAACAAACGCAACAAAACCTGTAAATCCCTCACCTCATCCAATTGGTGGACGCAAAAATAGATCACGAGACCTAAAGTATTTCGGACCTCGTAGTTCACACACACTTCTGGACACATTTTGACTCTCACTAAATGCGTATATCAGCTGTTCGCGTGCGCGACAAATATCTTTGAAATAAAACGCGAACATATCCAATCGTGAACATCAAGTGCAGTACCCACCATCCCAATTGACAAAGCTCAAGATTAAGCTCGTAGACTGGCTTTTTTTCAACTCTTGTTTTATTGGATCTTTAACATAATCCACTTTGAAACAATTACAAAAATGAGCTCTGGAGGTAAGTCTTTTTTTTTATCATTAATTATTTCATTGCACAGTCCAGATTTCGCTTTCACTCAGCTTTCCCTTGCCTATAGACGAAAGTTCTACAAGCCAGACGATACCTCGTCCTGCCAGTCGTCGAGGTCGCCCAAAAAAACGACCTCGCCCGCCTTCGCGCAAGAAACAATCTCAACCCATGGTCACGATTGAATCGGTAGACATTTCGGCGATGGATATATCTATGGATTCGACACCTCTAATAGCGTCGTCTCCGTATGCAGAGGCGAGTGCAGAAGATAATGATAGCACACCCGTGTCCACTCCGGTCAAGCGAAAACCGGGTCGACCGAGAAGAGAACAAATCAAACGACGCAAGAAGGAGAACGGAAGAATTGATAGAAAAGGCAATATGGAAGAGGGTATGGATGAAGACGAAGAGGTAGAAAGGAAGAATAGTGAAGAGGGATTCAAAGAGAATATTGTTCTTGGTGAGAAGAGGTTTGGTGTTGAAAAGGGCAGGGGTAGAGAGAAAGAGAAAAATAGAGAAAAGGGTAAAATAGAGAAAGACAAAGATGGTAATAGAGATAATAATGCGACAGTTGATAGTAATAAACGTGCGGAATTGACGGATAAGAGTGCAGATAAGACAACGGAAGGCTCGGTGGCAACTAAAGATACGGAAGATGAGAAGGGTGAACAAAAGATCACGAGAGATGGACTTTTATTAGGAGGTAGGAGATCATCTATGGTTGAAATGTATATTAAAGTATCGTGATAATTGGTCTTTGACCGGATA